TTTCTAAGTCTCTTCTAGACCCTGGTTCTCTAAACTTAATCTACTTTTTCTGACTCAGACAGTGGAAGATATTTTTTACATATTTTTTAGGTTATTGCACTCTTAACAGAAGTCAGGTAAAAATAATAGAACTCAGTGATTCGATGTAGATGAGAGTTGAGTGCTTTTGACAACAGACCTGAGGAGACAACAGAAACTTTCCATTGCTGTTCTTGGATTTTTTTTCTTTCATGGGCATTTGGGTTTTTGGTGGACTAATGGCTGAGGTGGAGTAACTCCAGTTGTACAGATCAGAGTACTGTTTCTTTCTGTTTCAGAGAATGAAATATTTCTAATATATTTTACCTTCCAAAAATGCTTGCCATATTATTAGCATTTCCTCTTATCATAAATCTGTCTACAGAAATTGATGACTAAAAAAAATTTAATTTAATGGATTTCAGAGATGCAAATGTCAAACATATTACTGGATTGAAACTGTGATGCAGTTGTCCCAGTTTTAGCTACTTTTGAGTACCAAATACCCGTAACTCTTCTCTCCTCTTCAGAAAAACAGTCGAGAGACAGTGGCAGATGAAGGGTTCTTTGATCTGCTGAGTCGATTCCAGAGTAACAGGATGGATGATCAGAGATGCTACTTCCAGGAGAAGAACAGATTCTCAGCTGCTTCAGTGGCAACATCCTCTACTCCACCTAAAACAATGAGAAAATGTAATATTTTAAACAGTAAAATCTGTATCTGACTTTAGTTCCTGCAAAATACTATTTTAAAAATTATTTGCATGCAAGGCTTACTATGGAAAGGAACTTATTTCTAGGCTAACGTGTCTTCTTCCTCCTCCCCAGCCTTTTCTACTTCCGTAGTCTCCCCGCACACAGATGAGTTTCTAGACCTGCTTGCCAGCTCGCAGAGCCGCCGGCTGGATGACCAGCGCGCTAGCTTCAGTAACCTACCCGGCCTTCGTCTTAATCAGCGCAGCAGCCAGTCAGTCCTGGGCCACCTCATGGCCAGTAACAACAGAGAACTAGATGATGACTTCTTCGATATATTGATAAAATGCCAGGTAAGTGTTTTACAAAAATTCTTCAGAGTCTGAGTCTTAGAGATTTGATTTGTGTATCCTGTGATTTAGTTTCTTCAAGTAAGCCACCATGTGTATTATGTGTTTTAAGATACAAACTGATTTGGCAGATAAGGAAGAACATAGAGGACAAAAAATTAGGATTTTTTTTTTTAACAGTTTTTCTTGGGTGTGGTTTGGTTTTTGGTTTTTTTTCCCAAATTATCCAATAAGTGTAATTTTGGTATTTATACCATGTTAACTATTTAAAATAACAAATGCTGAAAAAGTGAAGGAGAACAAGTGAGGCTATTAAAAGGAGTATGTAAAATGATTTTAAGAAAAAGTGTTTAGATCTGGCTTGTTGGGAGAGCACAGGAATCTTAATTGATCAAAAGAAAGAGTTCAGTATCAAAGTTCTAGTGGTGATATTGACCATCACTGCAGTTATGTGTTCTGCTATAAACTATTATTTCAGCTTAACAAGTGAGGTGTGGGATTGCCAGAGCATGGTATATACACCAATTAGACCAAAGAGAATTTAATTTAAAAGGTGTTTTACTTCATGGGTTAATAAGTACAAAATTCAGGTCCTGAGTTCGCCAAAGGTAAGTCTGTATGGTACCTTGGGTGAGAAGCAGTGCCTGGAATTGGGCCTATGATGACAGTGTTCATCAACCTGATGACATACGAGGTTCTGTTTGAGCAGCCTGTCTGTTTACTTTGAGTCAAGCAAAGAATCTAGAGATCAGTATCTTAGATTTTGTCTCTTCACATAATGCAATGCCTGACCATGCTTACTGAGAAAGGAATGGAAAGTTTAACCCCCTCAGTCATTATGGATGCTGCTGCTTTAAACGGAAGCACAAAAGGGTGGCTGACTTTTGAGACTTTTTTGTCTCAAAGATGACTGTCCAAGGGCCATCCACCACGGGAAGCCATACTCCTCCTGACGTGACCACATTCCCCACCAGCTAGCGTGGCAGCTAGAAACAGAAATTAGAAATACTCTGAGGCAAGGGAGCTACTGTGGATGGTCACAGTCCGCAGCCAGACCCATGGTGCCAGGCTGATGCTTGTAAAATCCGAGTAGGAGGGGGCTGCTGAGTGAAAGGAGCACAGAAACCATCTCAGAGGTGCTAGGGAACTGCTCTCTAACGTTGTGATTAACACGGAGCAACACTTTCTCTCCATCCTGCCTGCCCAAATCTGACAACAGTGCCGCCGTTTTTTACTCCCTGTATAAGGAAAGGAAGACAATAATATTTTCTGTCGTATCAGACTAGAAATACCAGGTACTAATGCTGAAATTCTTCTTCTGGACAAAGGACACTTAAATCTCATTGTGCAGTATGAACAAGAACTAAATTGGGGGTTTTACTTTGATGCATGTGGACAGGTGGTTTGGAAGAACCATTTTAGCTACACTTGCACGCTTAACTTACTTACTACTTTCATTTGAGAAGTTTAACTTGAAACAAAACTTACAAATTAAATCATTTTAATAGCTTAAATCTGCAAACAAAAGCTTTTATTAATTTTTCACTTATATTGTTCACTTATTTTATGGTATATATTCCTGCATAAACATGCAGCTTTACTGCTTGGTCTGGCTGTAGGGTTCCAGACTGGATGATCAAAGATGTCCTCCTCCATCATCTGCAAAAGGACCAACTGTGCCAGATGAGGATTTTTTCAGCCTGATTTTACGATCACAAGCTAAGAGAATGGATGAACAAAGAGTCCATTTACCCTCAGCCATCAAGGGACCACATTCTAGCTGAAGAAAGAAACAGGCACGTACTGTACAGTAGCATCTTAGGTATCAGTTTTGTTTGCTGGGAAAACTTTCATGCCTTTTTACAGAGCACTGCAATTAGTTTTGTCTCCTGTATAATAATTTTTTGTATAAGCAGCAGCAGCATCACACTTGTGACCAGTAGTTAAGAGTTGCCGCTGCTCTTCGCAGTTGGCAGCTGCTTTTAGCAGTGTCTGAGATACTGATTACTCTATTTCCTTCTGAACTGCCTCTAGTCTCTGAACATTAATAGGAATCTTTCCCTGTCAAGGTATTCTCATTGCTGATGTGTGGATTCTACCACTGTCTCAATCTTAAGACATAAATTTGTATGTACTTTGTAAAGAAAACTTGGTTGTGGTTTTGTTTTATTTTTTTTTTCCTTGGATTTGTACCTCCCTGGAAAAAGGTCCTGTTTTCTTTTATACTTTTTTTTAAAAATAAAAACAAATTGAGAAATAACTTCAGTACTTAATTTGTCTTTGCAGAATCACAGTTTGGAGGAAACAATTTGTATTAAAAAAGAAATACAATCAAATTGAGTTGTAATTCTGTTTAATACAAATATAATCTTTTCAAAACATGCTGGGTTTTTTTTAGTAATAATTAGTTAAGTGTTTCCTGTATTACTCGGCACAGTTTTACAATCAGAATTTTTTAAGAAGATACACTTGTTTTTAAGTAACAGCTACCAAAGCTATTCTAGAGATTGTGTGGTACATGTCCACCACCAGTGGAATCACAGGGGTGGTAGCTACTGAGCATGGACTGTCACGGATGTCAGGTAATTCCTGCAGTAAGTGAATTTAAAATGTTACAAACAGTAAATGTGTGTATGTATGTGGGGGTGTGTGTATGTATGTGGGGGTGTGTGTATGTATGTGGGGGTGTGTGTATGTATGTGGGGGGGGGTGTGTGTGTGTATGTGGGGGTGTGTGTGTGTATGTGGGGGTGTGTGTGTGTATGTGGGGGTGTGTGTGTGTATGTGGGGGGGTGTGTGTGTATGTGGGGGTGTGTGTCTGCTGCTTATTGCCTGACCTCAACCACTTCTCTTGATAAAGATGTGCTATGTGGGGGTAGTTCTTGGGAACGAGTTGTTAACTCAGTCCTCCCCTGGGTAGATACCTGTACTGAGGTAGTTCTTGGGAACCCCCAGGGCTGTATGTTGTTTCAAGCGTAGGTATCTTGAGTTAGAAACCACCGATTTCAACACTGAAGGTGGCAAACTGTTCACTTCAGGTATTTATAAATGAAGTGACGTCCCTTTTATTTACTGAAGTACTATACCTCTAGAGAAGAATCTACAGTTAATTTTAGCTTCAGAGTAAGAATAGTTAGACACAGGCTCCACATCATTCAAACTATTTCACATTCTCTTGCAGCTTTTTTTTTAGCACTGAAATTGATTTCTACAGCAACTAAAACTGTCCTCCTTCAGCTTGTAAGGAGAAATATCAGAATACTCTTCCAAAAAGCATGTGTTACCATAAGTTTATTGTTCTGATCTTCTGTAGTTGTACTTACTGCCTCCTACTCCCCATTCAGCTTTGAATCACCCTAAAAAAACATCTGATACATCAGCTTCTCACTCCTCTGCAAATTATTAAACTAAAATAAATCATCAAGCTGTCCTGAAACCAACCTGACAAGCAGTAATTCTACTTATTTAAAACTGATTTTTAAAGAATGGAAAACAAAAGCTTGTCTCTTTGAGCTGCAGTTAGTCCTATGTGAATTACATGGGTATCAGCAGCTTTGACAGTTACCGGATTAGGCTTACGTTCGCTCAATCACAGAGCACCCACCGGTGCTTCCCCACCGGAATATCTAGTTCTATTCAAAACTTACTGATTACACAAACTTGATTTCAAACCAGCAGCAATACCCACAACCTTGGCCACTTAGAAAGTTATCTAACTTAACAACAGACATTTCAAATTCCACAGACAGTAAGTATATGCAGACTCTCAGTTTGTGAAACTCTGCCTCCCTTACAGCTACGCATACTCGTGCTCTGACCAAAGATGAGTTGCCATCAGCTTCCCGATGCTCCCTTTTCTACATCTGAGAACTAGAGCAGAACTAGCAAGTACGTGACAATTAAAGATTAAACAAGACTTACAGCAGAGCCTGGAGCTTCCTTAGTCTCCTTCCTTCAAGTCCTCTGAATGGCTTTTTTTCTTCTCTTCACATGGTTCCACTGCAGAATGTTTCCCTTCTAGGTTTTTATGAGCATCACAATTGTCTCCAGTCTCTGGCTCTGCTTTGCCTGTCTCCTGTTTCTGCTGCTCAAGTGCATGTTCTTCAGTAAGGCTTTCAGCTGTGATAGTTTCTAGTCTACAAACTTCAGACTCTGTGTGCAATCTATTCTGTAAAAATTAATAATAAGCTATTAATCAAGAAATCTAAAGTGATGGCATCTATTACTTCAGGTGCATCTCAGCTCAAGGGGCAGCACTCCTCCAAAGCATAACTATTGTTATCCTTTTTTCCTGGGGAAACACATAAATGAGCACAATCATCTAGAGTATAAGTCTGGTTTTTAAATTTTCTGTAATTTACAGAAAAGTCAGCACTGCTTCTATTCCCTGCCTTTCTTCTGTGGGTAATCTTTACTGCCCAGGCTGACAGATCTCACAAAGCAGAAGTTATTTAAGTCTTTCTTTACTATAAAGAGTTTTAATGCAGTAGTTTCTTGCCACAGTTAGTTAGCCATCACACAGTATTTTCCCAGAACAAAACATGCCCAAGGTACCTCTACCACACTGTTCTGCAGGGGAACAGGTACTTTCTTAACTCCTCTCTCCCCAAGATCTGGGTTAAGCTTGTTGTTTAAGCATGTTCTAGCAGATGACATTAAAATCTATTAAATTTAATCCCAGGACTAACATACACCAGGTTCTGGTTTGTGAGGCTCTTCTACTTGCGTGTCTGGCTCATTGCTTGTGTGCATGATGTCAGGACTTCTGCTGCCATTTCCTGGTCTCATAGGAGCATCTCCTCTGTCATAAGGTCCTCGGTAAGCACAAGGAAGCTTCTGTGAGTAATAGCCATCTGCTTTACTCCCATCATATTGCCCAAAGTCTATTTTTGCCTGCTGACTGTCAGGTAGACTTTTCTTCTCAGAAGAAGTTAAGTATCTTAACATAGATACTGATGATCCTGCACCATAGCAGAAAGCCTGAGGGAGAGGGAAGGAAAAAAAAAAAGAACAAAATATCAAATATTTGCAGCCTCTGGTTTTCACACAAAATTGAAAGACATGTATCTGAAAAACACTGAATGAAAAGCTCAGGTGATCAGAATGGCTACAATAAAATTAAAGCTTTTCTACAGTTAATCTTTGGTGTTACAGTAAAGATGTTGAAGGCTCTAACTCAATGCTTTCATATACACAATGTCAATTATATGCATCATTGGGTACTGACTCAAAGAAGAAATGGGAACTAAGCTGCAATAAACTGTCATAGAGTCTAAGATTTTAAGCAGTTTAGTATTCTATCCCACTTGGGGAGTGGGGGAGAGATATGGTTTAAATGGAAACTTAAACCTATTTTAATTGCTAAACCAACTAACTATAAAGATTTTGTCAAGAGAAAATTCCTTTGTAGAAATAACTTAATCTGTGCTAAAAAATCTGTTCAGTAGTACAAATAATAAATAAATAATATAATAGATAATAATACTTTTATATATATATAAAAAACCTGAGCTTTTAAATATAAGATAAATGTATACAAACCAGGACAGCCAGAGCCATCATAATTAGCACTGGAACCTGCAGAATAAACGGTATCTCCTTCATCAGTGCTTTGATGAATTCACCAATACCCTGTCCTACGTGCTTCAAAGGCTCAGTTACAAAGTTGGTGAAAGTAATTGCCAATGCCTAGAAAAGCACAAACAGAAAACCAGTGTTGTCACTAACTGCAAACATGAGCAGAACAGTCTCTTTAGGCTGGCACATACCTTTGTGGGAGGAACCAGCAGAACGGGGTTTACCAGTAGAGTTTCATAGTACTTCAGACAGGGATCATCCTGAAACGTCCATTTACTTCTGAGCCACTCTGTAGTCAAACAAACAGAGACATGTTTTTACTACTTTTTAAAAATGTGTTTTATGACACAGCAGTAATACAGAAAGTAGCATTTCAGTTCTAGATGGAAGAGACCTCTTCTAGATATGGTTCAAAGCTCTGATTTATTTTTAAAAATCTTAGATTAGCTTGGCAGTGTAGTTTATCCAGTCATGGAGATGCAGGAAGGAGAGGGAAGGCTGGAAGAAAGAGGAGAAATTGATGTTTTCCCATGTTTAGTCAATAAAGTTCTCTTCATTAGATGAACTTAGTCCCCAGACACCTCAGAGGAAAAATAAGTCTTGTCTGTGGGATCTATTATCTAGCACATTTTGTCCACAGCTACTGAAACAGAAGTAATTGAGTGTTATTACTCATCCACCAGGCTGCAAGTAGATTAAAAATGTATATTTTGCTTGCTAGACTTCAAGAGACTATTTTATTTATAAGCAAAAACTCTTACTCTTTAAAGGGCACTTCTAAGTTATAAACAAGTGATTTATGACATCAGTATTTCTGTAGTTTCAGTCAGAACATAAACCACTGAAATTTGACATAAACAGAGCAATCACAGCCAATGAAGGGAAGACCATAACAAGCACTCATTAAGAGTTGCCATCATTAATCTACCCTCTGTAGCATTGGATAACAAATAATGCCTAATAAAAAATTTCCGCCTTCTCTGTAAAATAACAGCAGTACAGTAAGCAGTTACAGATCTAATTTCTGAAGGCCACTGTACTCGCAGGCCTGGAAGATGAAAAAACCAAAACCCCCTCTTTTTCTTGAATTCTGCCATCCTACCTTCAATAAATGGCACTGAATGGTGCTGGGAGAGGGGAGCTGGGGAACACAGGGTAAGGTATAAGGAAAAGAAGTAACACCGTGACATGCATTAAGAACAGTTTTGTGATCAGCTCTCCTTGAAAGGCCTAGAAAAGAAAGTCTTGTGGAATGGAAAAATGGTAAAACCACGTGTATTGCTGAGGAAGATTCAAAGTACTACTTGAAGAAATTATTCTTGGAAAGTATTACTGACTATTTTGTGATCTTAAATACTATTTACAAAGTAATGAAACAAGTATTTACCAATAAGACTTCCTCTCCAGTCTAACTTCTCAGCACAGACGTTATCGAACTGCCCCATTTTCGCGATTTCTGCTTGATGCTGCGCGAAGGCCAGCTGCAGGAGAATGAGAATTACTTGTAAAACAAACCACGGTGGTGCTGCGTGTAGAACACCTGCATCCATGCAGCACTGCACCTGAGCTCATGATGTCTGTTCTTAGTAGGTCTGGGATAATTACCCAGGTAAGTCTCCATTATGGAAAGTTAACTACCTAAGCAATTTAACAGAGTTCAATTCCAAGCACTTCCTGGGAATGGCTAAAAACTACCAAGACAGCTACCTCTGAGTTCTTCTCCAAAGGGAATATGAATTGCCAAAAGAGCAAACTCCAGTGTTCAAAGGTATCAGGTCAAGGAAAAAAGTCATCTGATGACATCTTGTTTCCTTAAAATGTTTCTGGATTAAAACCAGAGACAGCTGCCATGCAATTACTAATTAAAACATCAGGACATTCTCTTTAATTTTTTAAATAATTCCCATTAACAAATACCTGTATTAATTATAATTTTGCCTTACAGTTTGCAACTGATAATCAAATAGAAAAAATTAAATCATCTGTTGAAAAACTCTGAGTCAGTGCCATTCTTCACTGACTCAATCCAAGTCCTCTGTGTGGCAGTCCACTCGTTCAAAAGCCACCCTCCTCTCTGGCACTCTGCTATTCCTGGCTCTGACAAGCTGCAGTTAAATTCTGACGACAAGATGTGAGGACCAAGATTTTCTGGTTGGGCGATGACCCAGCAGCATGTGGTGGTTTTAACTCGGCCAGCAGCCAAACACCACACAGCCGCTGGCTCACCCTCCCCTGCCTGGGAAACGGGGGAGGGAATCAGAGGGTAAAAGTGAGAAAACTCCTGGGTTGAGATAAAAACAACTGAATAATAAAAATAAGAGAATTAATAATGGAATATACAGATGAGCGATGCACAGTGCCACTGCTAACCACCCGCCAACCAATGCCCAACCCATTCCTGGTCAGCAATCCCAAAGAGAGAAAACCCCGAAGCCTCACATCCCGGAAGAGCAAGAGAGCACAAGCTTTCCAGCCAGCCCTTGTCCATATACTGAACATCACCTTATATGATACAGAATATGCCACTGGCACATCCAAGTACTAACTTGGATCTGTTGACCTTACTATGCCCCCTCCCCCCAGGTTCTTCTGCACCTGCAGACTAGCAAAGCATGGGAAGTTGGAACATCCTTCATTTCCTATCAAGAACTAAAAACTTCAGTATATTATCAACATTCTTCTCCTACCAAAGCCCACACTGAAACCAAAACACAGCGCTATTCTAGCTAGTAAGAAGAAAATAAGCTCTGTCCCAGCCGAAACCAGCACACAGTATAAATTCCTCCCCACTGAAACCACTACCATTACACAGTCAGGCACTTTGTCACCATTAATGAAGCATTTCTCTCTGGTCTATCACACATTATATGCAGTTTCAGACAGGGAATCTTTAGAAAAAAAAAAACTTCCCACAATATATTTTTGTAAGACTTTTCTACCAAGCTGCCATGTCTCCCTTGTCCTTCCAGTGAAATCACATTTCTACTGCTTTATGAATTCCGTGCACCTTTGCAGCAAGATAAAAGTTGTCAGGGTTCCTTTTGTTCTTCTTTAAGCCTAACACACTGTCAACATGCTAAATAAAATGTTCATACCTTTATTTATTGTTTTATATAAACTAACTAAAGGAACTAAATTATCTTAGGTCCCACATAACTAAATTTTGAAGCCCAGAAGCCATTAAGATTTCAGAACAACTTACCTTATACAAGTAAAGCCAATTCCATGCAAAACTGATGAGAAAACTTATTAATAAAACACGTTTTAGCTGAACAAGCCAATGAATACGTGTCCACAACTCTGTAGCTATTATAATTACAACGCACACTAAGCACAAGAGTATCTGAAAAAGAAAACAGGTAAAAGTTATGATGCAGATTTGGAAGTTTACTGCCAGTACACATGAAGGAACTTCCAGGTTTTGTTTTTATTACTGTCACTTACACAGAACAGTCGAGAGACACTTTTCTTGCTTTCACAGCCTATCTGCAGCAGTACAAAGCAGAAAAGGTTCATGGTATTGCTAGTAGTCATTCCTATCACATCCTTACGCTGCAGTTGCTCATTTATTTCTTGTGATATTTAGTTATCTCTTCCTCATTATATTTATCATGTGACCTACCATACTTAAAAATTGGAAAATAGATGTAATTCAGTGCTAGAGCAGTGCCTGGTAGGAACCACAGAACCACTGCTGCCAACTCCTGCAGTGTGGTTAAGAGACAAAGTTACAGTTTGGGTAACATCAGCAAGACTACAGAGAAGCACTTTACAGTCTCTTTCCCATCCCAGGACCCCTAACAGCAAGGTTACGCTACTGGCAGCTTGCTTTTTTCATTTGGCTTACATGGACCCCCTCAAAACTAGACAGGCTACTTCCAGGATCATTTCGGGATAGAATGTTATCATGTTCTGAACTGTAAAGATTTATTCAGAGAGCTTCAGCTTATTATAGATCCTCAGCCTAGCACTTTATAATTCCATTTTAGAGAATATGACATTTTCACACAGTCACGCTCTCCTTCTCTCCAACACTCTACAATTTTTTTTTCCCCAGAATTCACAGAAAACTCTAACCTATAAAATCGAAGACCTCAAACTTGTCTCAATATACATATATCCCAACTCCTGCATAAGCCAACAGCTGCTGCAGGAGTTGAACAAGACACAAATCTGGAAAATGTATAATGCATGAGTTGTAAGTTTAAGTGGTAAGAAAGTACCGAGTCTAATGAATTGCACAACACAGATAGAAAAGACGGGAAGAGAAAAAAGAAAGCATACCAGAAAAGAACCACAAAGCTACAATAACAAAAGATGACCACAGGAATAGAAAACTTGAATTCTTACTTCAAGTGACATCACCTCTACCTTCAGCAACAAGAAAACAGAGTGACTCACTGTAAGTACGACGGCTTTACATGTGGAGTTAAGATGGTAATATTCAATGGTTAAACTTGCACAAAGAAACTGGAGAAAACAGCAATTAAAAAACAACAAAAAACCTTTCTTCTTCTTCTCTTACCAGAAACATATTATATAGATCAATTCCAAAAGTGTCTTCAAATCTCCAGTGCCAAGCTTTATAGTCATGATGCTTAAAATTTATCAAAATATCACTAAGTGCATCATCCACGGCACCTGACTGCCAAGTTTCCTCATTGAGAAACCTGAGGATCTCCAAATATGTCTGTTTTGTAAGGATGATCTCAGCATCGTAATGGACACGGCCCACATTTTCCTCAGGCTGAATTAAAAACAAAGCAAAACCATGATTAAAAGCTGCTTATGTGGAAACAGAACTACATGCAAAAAACTGTGTCCCTATGCAAAACCCTAATTATATACCCTCGTTATATACCAGCACCTTTCTGAAGCAGACTGTGGGACGAAGACATGGAACAGGGACCTCACTGTGATTCTATAACCATTCTGTTCATTCTTCTAAATTAGATAAAACACCAATTAAACTGATTTGTACTCTTTCCATTCTACAGCAAAAACCTAAAAAATGAAGTGGGGTATCTCATCTGTTATTAAAACTTTAGAACCACTTCTCATTAACAGGTGTTAATTACTAATGTGCTATGTATGCCTCCATCATGGCTGGGTAATACAGATAAAAGCTATTAAATACTGAAATAAGAAATTCTACATTACTAAATATGTTCTTTTATTCCTCTACCTCCAAATAGAAAAAAAATCTCCAAAGACAAGATAATAAAGTAATAAGGTAATTCTTATATACAAACAATATAATAAAGCAATAAGGTGATTCCTGTATGCAAACTCTAATAAAGCTGCTATTCCTAGACAGTTAATGTGGTAGAGTCTAAATCAAAGGCCCAAAAGGTCTACAACAAACAAAATCTGTCTCTCTCAAGTTTAACAGCCATTAACGTGAACTGAAGAGGGTACTATAGCTGCACGCCAGCAACAGGTATTTATATACATACTCTGAATTTACATAGTCTTCCCTTGGATGCTGTACAGATCAAAGGGCAACTGTCTCTCCTGAGCAAACACGACTAGCTAACAGCAGTACTGGATGCACACGCTGGGATCATTTTTCCTCTGCAATTCAGTTCCCCTCATTTTAATTTAAAGTAAACCAGAATAATTAATCAATACTTGATAACTGTGAAAAACACATAAAGTAGTAGTATGAATTTTAATTAATTTTTAATGAATGTTCAAATACTTACAAGGCCAAGTTTTCCAGCTTCATTTAAAATCTTATTCAAGTATCTCTTAAAAATATAAAAGCTACGGCTTTCATGTGAGTTGGCATTCCTCTTCTCACATTTTGCAATCTGCAGTGTAAAGACATTTTATTAACTTCTTGCTCAAATCAGCTTGTTCACAGGAGAAAAAAAAACCCTACCAACACATTAAGCTCGGAATTAACAGAGGCACATTTATGTAGTTTAGCAATAATCCTGTGATTAGTACACCAGCTAAAAAGCGTATGCAGTTACTGGAGACACTACTTTCCATGGGACTGGCCAGTACTGGATTTTAGATCTACTAATAACATGGTTTGAATACTCACCTCAGGAGATCTGGAAAACACTAAAAATCTAAATCTCCTTAAATTTTAAGTTTACATCAGAAAAAGAAAAGAGAACTGTAAAAAATCCTATGTAACTACAACAGCATTAAAATTGCACATGCCAGTAGGTCTCCAAATGGCTGAGTGAAGTGAGAGCCCTGGTAAGCTACACAAGCGTCGCTACACCTTCCTCATCTCAGGGGAAGAAGCAGTGCAGGGGTCTTACAGTGGCTTCTGAAAGCTGCAGCACTGCACATTATGGTCAGCCACAAACAGATTCTCTGTGCCCACAACCCACCCCTTAAAATCTAACAGAATTCAACAACTTGAAAATGAAAGATCAGGTTTCTCAGCTTTTGGCAGCATGGTGTAACATCAACACCACATGTTTAAACTGGACAGAAGCACATAGCTCCTATCAACTTCTGTTACACTATAAAACATTGTGGGAAACAGACTTTGGTAGGCAGAGCAGCAATTTGGAATTGAGTCCAAACCACTTCCAGTCTCTCCTCCGAGTAAAGAGGTTCCCCCTACGCAATGCATGGTCTCTTACAAATTATGCCAGCAATCCCCCTGTTCTGTACTACCCAGAAAAGCACCATCAGAAAGCACAAACCATAAAAGGCTTGAAAATATTCTGAAGTTCTGTAACAAACCTTCTGTTGCAATGAATCTAGTTCCCTGGAACAACTTGGTAAGATTTCAGTACTGACCGCATCCACATTCTTATCCTCAGAGTCATGATAGTTTGCCTAAAATTTCATAAGAAAAATGCATATCTTTAGAATCAAAGAATCTGATCAATATGCCATGTTACACTTCTGTAACACTTTAAAAGGAGCTAAAAACTGAGTGCTGGTCTGCTGCTAATACTCTCCCGATTATACTCCAGTTGCCTCTCTGCTGTTATTTTAGGCTCCAAACAGACAACTGTTTTCAGTTTATTTAAATGATCAAAAGGTGAGGTCTTGCCCTTTCTTCCCCTGCCCTTTCCCCTCCTTTGAGTGTTGGTGAGCCACACAGCGCATCAGATTAGATAACTGGACTGGCTAAAAACCGACTCAGCAAGCAAAGGAGCAGTTTTCTGCCAAACCAAGTCCCAGTCCAGCTGGCCAGGTAGCCAGCCAGACAGAAAGTAAACACACAACCCCACTCTGGCTTGCATGCCTTTCCTTTCATGTTCCCTCTTCACTCTGCAACAACCTCCCATTTTTTCTGTTAATTTCTCAGACTCAGTTTTATCAGAGCTTCTTCTACACAACCAGGTGTGCACATTGAGGAAAGTCTCCAAAAAGAAGTGCAACATCACACAAATTGGTGAACTCATACTGAAAATAAGTTTTCAGGGCTCTGCTGGCCCACACAGGCTGCCTACCTAAAACCTCTCACTGCAGAGCAGAAAAGAAATCCCAAAAAGATAGATTAACCCAAAGCAGTCATTCTTCTCCTTTAAGATGCAGTTCTGTTTTCATGGGAGACAACAGTAAACTCCTAATATTTTTCAACAGAAGCTGAAGCAGTTGGGCACCAAATTTAAAGGCTGCAAAGCTTGCTGCTTGATTTTAGGGATGCTAATGACTATCAGGTGGACTTGGGGCAGGTGGAAGCTGAGGAGAAACTCTGTAGAAAGAAATAATATAGTCTGCGTTTTTTACACTTCGGGAAGTTATGCTCTGAAGCGTTAGAATGGTAGCACTCAAGACTGCAAAAATAAACTTGAAAACTGAATAACAACAAAATCAAGGGTGTGCACACAACCAAACACAGTTTACAGCGTCGTATGTGCACATACGTACTGGATAAACAATATGCATCTCATCATACGCGTAGATCCCACTCCTCATACTAGACAACAATCAGAGTATGACTCAATTTGTCAAAACTAGCTTTTCATACTTCATCTCCTCCATGTTCAAGAGTTATTAACAGCACATCACTCAACCCCTGTTCTGATCTTCCTTTTGCAAACTCTGATGCCCAGGATTACAAAACATCATTGACTTTCATTATACCCTCACACAACAAATGGGTTTTATTCTCTTATTACTGGAGAACTGGATAATTCAAGTAAAATATAATAAATAACTGCAATTTCCCCAACTTTTATCAGCTGAGAACTTAATTTTCAAGATATTTAACACTATACTTGAGAAATTAGAAAGAGCTGCTTAACCCAGTACTTCTCAGAGAAATAACCTGTGCTGCTACAACCTGCATGAGTCAACCAACCACAGTCACCCACCACCTGTGAAAAGACAAAAAGCATGGCTCCTGTGACCCCATCAGTGTGCAACAAAAACTCATCAGTAAGAGGCCCTGCGCTAATTATCTGCAATAATATAGATCGCTATTTTTTCCTTACAATTTTAACAATAGCCACACAACACTTTTCTGTGTACAGATTCAGATGTAAACTTAGAAAACCTTAGAAAGACCATAATTCTATCATTTTCTAATGTTGCAGTTTAAGGGCAATCTGTCGACAGTGTCCAGCTTAAGGAGACTGTTTGGGAGAGACACGTATTCATGCACCTTTTATTTTTCTACCTTGTAAGGTCTTCTCATTGCTCCTGACGCTGCATCATAATTGAGCATATCGGTGGGGTCAATCCATTCATCATCTTGAACTTTACCACTCCCTATTAACACAACTGCACACAATACCAAAGGAAACAGCATCCTGTATCACCAAATATAACAAGAAATTCAGATGTTTAGTTCAGAATGTGACACGCTGTAAAAAAAACCTGAAACAATCTTACATGAAAAAAGTATTATCATAGAATCATAGAATGGTCTGGGTTGGAAGGGACCTTAAAGATCATCCAGTTCCAACCCCCCTGCCATCAGCAGGGACACCTTCCACTAGACCAGGTTGCTCAAAGCCTCATCCAACCTGGCCTTGAACACTTCCAGGGAGGGGGCATCAACAATTTCTGTGGGCAACCTGGGCCAGTGTCTGACACCCTCACAGTGAAGGTTTTTCTCCAGTCTTGTTTAAAAACTCGGTTCCCTATTAAGCAGGTTAAACTTCACTTATAGATTTTTTTTTTTCCCCAAAGAAAACAATGGCAAGAATATACAACGATTAAACTGTATTAGATGACCGGATCAACATAACTAGCTGGAGTTATCAGCAGGCGCAGGGCAGAGTTCGGCACTGCTAAACACGCCACAACAGCGCAGAACTGCTCCGGGCTTCCAGACAAGGGCCCTGGACCCTCACCATTACGGAATTCCCACGGCAGCCTCGCAAAGGCGGGAGGACACCCCTGCCCGGCCGGCAGTCACCTCGGCGCTGCCCCGGCAGGCCCAGGGCCGCCCCGCACAGGCCGC